CTGGCAGTTCAAGTGCTGAGGAGAAACCTACACACCACTGGATGGGGGCTCAGATCCAGAACGCTTAAAGCATCCAGTGTTTTCCTGGCCCATTCCTCAGATCTCTCTTCACTCATCTACACCCCAGACAATCCTGAACTGGATTTTTGTGCCTGGAATGGATGAATCCCAGACGGTTGCTCCTGCTTCCAACACCCCCACCCCAGCACGAGTGGGACCCTTCCTTACCATATTCCTCCACAGTAAAGGAGTGTTCGAGATTGGTCCCCGACTCCTTCTGCACCACCACGTTGTAGGTGCCTTGGATGGGCTCGGAGGTGAGGGGGAAGGAGAGCTGGGTGAGGCCCCCATTTAGCTCCACCTCTCGCCACTGATACACGCGGTTCTTCTGTGGGTCCTAGAGGTGAGGAGAGCACAAGGTCACAAGACAGGATGACTCTTAACCTTTCATTTACAGGCAGGGTGTCTACACGGCACGAGGCTGCAGAGCAGGGCAGTTGCAGTCCAATGTTCGGCAGAGATACAGGATATATACAATCATCGCTCTCTTCTATAGCTGAGGTTAGGGCACCTGGTGGCTGGCTCTGTACTTTCCCCGTATTCTGTAAGGATTAACCAGTCAACTCCTGTGCAATCAGCGTGTGATTAAACAGCCAGATACCAACACCGAATCTACTCCATTGTCTGCCCACCTGATCAACATGCCCACAGCTGCATGGAGTGGGCAAGGAGGATGGGAGAGAGCAAGGCTAAGAGACCAATGCACAGGCGCAGGATGCGGTGAGTTTCTCTTTGCCTGGGAGTTTGAATGTTCTATTTGCAGTTTGAGAATTGGCAACTGCTCTGGCTGAGGATTGAAATACTCAAGTTACCTCTGGGGCTGAGAAAACCCTCCCCATGCAGGTATGTGGAAGGCAATGGGCTATGGAAATGCTCATCTGCAGGGCCGGCTTTAGGAAGCGCGGGGCCCAATTCGAACATTTTTGGCGGGGCCCCGGCAGGAATGACTAACCAAAAAAAAAAAAAGCCCTGTAAAAAAAGCCCTTTCATTTCTTCCATGTATTATTTACTTTCCATAACTATATAAATAATAAAATTATATATTATGTACATTGTGTCATATATGCTGTTGATCGGTTATTAATGAGCGCCGTTTCACATGTGCGGGTCCCCGCCACTCCCTGGGGGGGGGGGTGTGCACATGTGTGGGTCCCAGCTGTTCCCTGCCCCCATCATTGAAGCAGGTGTGCAGGGTTACTGC